GCAATGAACCCTAAATTTAATAGAGCCGTAACTGAAAAGCTTAAGAAGCTCATAACTAAAAAAGTACCTGTATCTGAAAGTACTAATAAAAAGAATACTAAAGACCCTCTAATAATACAAATAATGAAAAAACAGAAAATTAGAAGACTTAAATAGGGGATCCATAAGCAGATCTCAGGTATAGTAGTTAGCAGGTAACCTGCGGGCAGAACCTTTAAATAGACAATAACTAAAGTTATACAAATGGCTATCTATAGCCTTATTGATATGTAATATAATACCCTCTCTATTAATTAGAACTGTAAGTCTTAAATAAAAAATGCTAAGACACAGGACTCCCTCTTTAAACTGTAAAAAAAAAAAATAATAGAAAAATATCTGAACAGCTAATTGTCTCTACTCTCGATAATGGTAACCTTGAGTTTATAGAACATAATGATAGACAATCTAGTGAAAGTTTAATTAATACTAATCTAAACAAAGCAATAGAGAAAAAGTCTACCTCTTTGTACTGTAATGCTAACATTAAACATATTAAATTCTCTCTCATTATTGATTCTAGATCAGCTAGAAGCATAATGTCTCTAAACCTATTAAAGGATCTGGATATGAAAATAACCCAAACCTCTAGAACAGTTATAATTAATATAAATGGTGAACGTCATTGACTTCTAGGAGCAGTCTCTAATACCTCTTTAGAAATAGGTAGACAAATAATCCCCTTTGATACCATAATTACTGAGTCTAATTTCTATAGTGCTATTGTAGGAAATGACTAGTTAAGGAAAACAAAGACAAATATAAATTACAAGAATAACACTATGACTATATACTGGAATAACAGAGTAATTACTATTAAAATTGAATCCCAACAACTCCCTCACTATGAAGTTAGTATTGAAGTCTCTGAAATGCAAAAGGATAAACAAATAGTAGAGAATAAAATAGTAGAATCAGATGATGATGAAGAATATAAAGAGAACTTTAATTTTAGTAAAAGCCTATTTTGCTATGCCAAGAAGAAAGCTATAAAAATTGAATAGGAAATCTATAAACAAGTCTACTATAAATTCAACACTGAGCTATACTATAACAAACCTGAATTAAAATCCAAGGATAAACCAAAGGAATCAGATAAGGAAAAATATAATATAGGTGAATTGAAACTCTAAGATAAACAAATATTTTTGGAATTTATGAAAGGATATGATAACCTAATCGTTTGGGAACCTTATAAATTTGGAAGGACTAAAGCTATAACTCATACTATCTCCATAGATACAACCTCTATTAAACAAAACTTCTACTATACCTCATATAAAAATCAGCAATTCATTAAGGAGAAAATTCAAGAAATACTCAAGTATAATTTAATTGTGCCTAGCAAAAGCCTTTGAACCTCTCCAGTTGTAATAGTTGATAAAAAAAATGGAAAACAATAATTCTGTATAGACTACTATAAATTGAATACTGTAACTAAAAATGATAATTACCCTCTCCCTCGAATTGATGATCTACTTAAAGCCTTAGCATACTCTAAATAATTCACTAGTTTGGATATGGCTAGTAGATATTAGCAAATACTTATAGAACCTTAGGACTAGGAAAAAACTGCTTTCATAACTCAGTTTGGTACTTATGAATTCACAGTCATACCTTTCGGATTATATAATACTCCAGCAATATTTCAAAGATTAATAGATACAGTCTTAAAGGACTTGCTATAGAATTTTGTAGTAGTTTACTTGGATGATATTAACATTGGATCAAAAACATTTAAACAATACTTAGAATACCTTAAACAAGTATTTGAATATCTCAAGGATGCTGGTTTAAAGTTGAACTCTGAAAAATGTTTCTTCTTTAAACAAAAGTTACCTTTTTTTGGCCATATAATTAGTGAAAAAAGTATTGAAACTGATCTCTCTAAAATACAGGCAATTCAAAACTATCCTATTCTCCAAAATACTACTCAACTCTAAGAATTCTTAGGCTTTGTATCTTACTATCACAAATTTATAAAAAGCTTCTCTAAAATAGCTAAACCCTTGAATAGGTTACTCAAAAAAAAAAAAGATTATGTTTGAACTACTAACCAACAAAATGCTTTTTAAAAATTAAAAGACTGTTTAACAACCTCACCTATACTCACCTACTCTAACTTTGAGGAACTATTCTTGATCTATACCAATGCATTAACTATTGCCTTAGGAGCAATACTCTCTCAAAAAGATAAAGATAATAAGGAGCATGTAATAGCTTATGCTAGTCGAACTCTAAACCTCCATGAGAAAAATTATTCAATTATTGAACTGGAATATCTAGCAGTAATTTGGTCTATTAAACATTTTTATCATTATTTGCATAGGTAGAAGTTTACTATTATTACTGATCACTCTGCATTGACTTACCTCAAAAATATAGCTAACTATACTAGACATCTTAGATATTGAATAATGGCTTTAAATAAATATGATTTTGATATAATCAATCGACCTGAATGTGTATATTCAAATGTAGATCTACTAAGTAGAATACAACTTTAGAAAACAACACACCTCTAATTATTAACTGCATATTACCTAGCAAATACCACTAATAGATACTTATATTGATAACAACAGACTATAGATTCAAACATATATTATATATTAGTATAATTTCTTACTAATTACACTCTACCTAATAATTTGAATAAGGATTAACAAAGGAAATTCAAAAACAAAACTCAATATTTTATAGCAGTAAATGGACTACTCTATAAGCAAAATAAAAAGGAACCTACTTGACCTTTTAAAGTAGTAAAACAAAATAAAGTAAAAACAATATTATATAACTTGCACTCTGACCTTCTGACTAGACACTTTGGAATTGATGAAACTTTTAGATGAATAGCTCTTTGATATTATTAGCTCCAAATATTTGAAGATATTAGAACCTATATACAATCTTGTGAGGAATGCCAATAAAGAGGTAAATCTACTCGAACTGAATCTCTGCACCCTATAAAAGTTAGACAACCCTTTGATCAAATAGAAATAGATATTGTTAGACTCTTACCTACAACTGAATGAGGCAATAAGTATATTGTAGTTGCTACTAACTACTTAACTAAGTTGCCTGAAGCTCGAGCTCTTACTAATACTAAAGCTGCCTCAGTGGTACCATTCTTCTATAAGGATATAATTTGCTGATATAGATATCTCAAGGTCTTACTCACTGATAGAGAAACTCATTTTGTAAATGAAATGCTGAATTCTCTCTATGAACAATTAGGAATAAAGTATAAGCTCTCTTCTGCATATCATCCTCAAACTAATGGACTTGTTGAACGTTTTAACAGAACTTTGTATGAAACTCTAGCAAAGTTCTTTAATGAAAACAAGGATGATTAGAACTTGTATATATCTTCAGCTCTTTTTGCCTATAGGACTATGAGGCATAACACTACTAAACATGAATCTTTCTACCTTGCCTATGGATGTGAAGTAACCCTTTTTGTGGATAGGGCTAGGGTGTAGTCCAAAATTTCTGAATCGGGACTGCAGATTATTTCTGATCTGAATCTGAAATCTAATGAAATTTAAACAGAATAATAAAAAAATTTAACATTTAGACAAAGATATCTCAATGACTGCCTAACCAAATTTACTAAAAATTTTTTTATTTGAATTCTACAGATTTGTAGAATTCAAATAAAAAAAAATTCATCAAATTTGGTCAGGTAGTTGCTGAGATATCTTTGCTCAAATTGGAGAAAATTTAAAATGTTTATCAAAATAAAAGCTACGCTAAATTATTTTAAACTTTGAGCAAAGATATCTTGATAACCATTTAGTCAAATTCAATGAAAATTTTTTTATTTGAATTCTGCAGATTCATAAAATTCAAATAAAAAATATTCATTGAACTTTGTCAGGTAGTTGTTGAGATATCTTCTCTCAAAGCTAAAGAAAATTTAAAACATCTATCAAAATAGTTTATTTTTAAAATTTGAGAGAAGATATCTCGATGACTAAAAAAACATAGTATACTTTTTTTAATGGTTAAATTCTAGATTATAAATATATTCAAAATATTAATACATATTATACTGATACTTATCTTATAAAAATGATAAGATATTTCCTTTTTGAAATTGCAAAGAAATTTTAGCTGTAGATCTTCTGTATAAAGATAATACAAGTTCATGGCTTACAAAAATTAATGTTACTATTATATATAAATTTCAAATTCAATAAATTAAGCAATTAATTAGACTTTAACTATTGATATATATAATATTAATATATAAAATTTATAATAATTAATAATTATTATAACTAATGAAATATTTTTTTAAATTTATTAGAAATGAAAACTATACAAATAATTAATATTCATCATGTAAACTACTAACTGCTTACTATATAGAAAATAGATTCTTTAAAAAATAGATCAAGTCTGTAACTTTGCTATTTAATTTATAAAAACATAGTCTATGGCTTTGTATTCTAGGTTTTATCATGTTTTAAATTGCACTATGATTTTTTAATATTATTAATAATAGTGAATATTTGATTCATATTACTAACTATATTATTAATATATCATATATTATTAATAGATAATTCTTCTTTAAGATGGTTTACTAGATACTTCAACTCATCTACTTTGGCTTTATATTGCTGATTAAGCTCAGGATCAATTGTCTCATTATCACCATTAGCAATAAAAACTATTTTTGATTGTATTTTTGAATCAAAATTAGGTCTAAGAAGAATATTATTTGGTTTACTACTATTCCAAATGAGAAATGGGTAATCTGTTCATCGTTTAAAATTTTTATAAATAAGCTGAATTCCTTCTGAATTATGTTTCTTTGCTTTCTTAATTGCACAATGAACTAGATGTTTGCAAATGAGAAATCAGTTGCAAAGAAATGAAGGACAACTACATACCCAACAATCCAGGTCAATTATATAGCGTTCCTCTGTATTATTACTAATTAATTTTGTAACAAGTTGATTCCAATTTTTCTTAAACTCTTCAAACCACTTTGGTGTTAATCGGCCAAGTTGCATTTGTTGAAAATGGACAATTTGATCAGATAAGACACAAGAACAAATCACCTATACAAGATAATCTAATCATAGCCAGTTAGAACGATAGAGATAACAATATTTAAGCATACACCAGTATGCTTCAATCATCATATTCGTTTTTGCAATAGGTATTGTTGCTCACATTGAATATGCCCATAGACACTATCATGATATTTTATACCATGAAGACCACAGATATGCCCATAATAGTACTAAATTATTTTTAATATAAAAATTATATATTTTATATACTGCACTTTCTCAAATCTCTGCAGATGTTAGAAATTTACTACTAGCATTAACTGGAATTTTTGAATATATATTAGAATACTTTCTAATTAAATTTATTATTTAATTTCGTAGGTTTAACTAACAAATTTTATAATATTTAGGTTCATGGTATTTTAAATCTGATTTAAAATCTGAACTTATAAAATCAAACTCAATAATAGCTTCTTCAGGCTGATAATATGTATGTTGAATTTTTTTGCAGCTTCTTAGTTTTTTTATTATTGCATGTTCAACATGCTATTGACAAAGCTATATATTAGTATTTGGCTATGTCTCCTTTGCTGTATTTATCTCAGCAAAATCTTTGTCAGTATAAAAATAATTAGAATTTAATCTATGACTATTACTGAGTTAAAAAAACTAGCAAGAGAATTAGTCTGCAAATAATTCTGTGATTCTTTTTCTTAGGCTTTTGTAGTATTCAAAATCAAATAGGCTAATGGGAAACCTGTACTATCTATACTTCCAACATGACTATACAACTCAAATTGACCTTTCGTAGTTTTATATATTGCATTATAATGAACTTCTGATACTGAAATAGTACAAAACAAAGGTGTTATAGAACCTATTGCAGTTACTTTATTAGTAGTTAATTCAAAAAAAGTTTACAACCTACAGAATTTGTTTTAAGAAAAGTTTACGCTGAAATAATATGATCATTATTTATTATATATGAGTCCTGTGTAAATACTAACCACCAATAATGAATTTGCTTTGCTGTTATGTTTAACATATCAAATTTATTACAAAGAATCATTCGAATTTGTATTGGATCCATGTGAATATTTGATCAAATTTCTTGCTTAATCTCTTCTGGTATTATAGTATCATTTGGCTTTTCATGAAGAATACTATGGTTAAGTTTTATTGTTGATTCTATTGCAGGTAAATCAACATAAATAATTAATCTGCTATAACAATCAAATCGATCAATTCTTTTTTGGTTTGATAGTTTATATTCATATTCTAGTTCAAAGTATTGTGAGCATGCAAAATAATATGTAGTAATATTGTTATATCGAGTTGAGATATGAAATGCTGTTGTAGCTCTAAATTATATTAGTTAAGTTAAATATTATTTTTTTTATTTTTAATTTAATTTATATTAATTTACGTCCATATATAATCATTATCTTCTTTGATTTTGTCAATAATTAACCTTACTATAGATTTAAGATCAGGTTTTCCTATGAAAAAATATCATTAAGATCTATATATATTTCAAATGAAATACCTGTATTTTTTTCTGTGTTAGAAATTAATTCTGCTACATAGTCACTAAGGACTTGTAGTAAAATTAATTCTACAGTAGTTTCATCATTATAATCACTATTTAATTTTAATTTTTTTCTGCTGCTCTTTTTTCAGATTTAGAATTTAGACAATTTATGCATGTTTTGTAGATTTTTTCTTTTGATATAAAGAATTCAGATGAATAATAATGAGCACATGAGGTACATTTATTTATTTTTATTATATAAGGTATGTGAAAAAAATTTTAAATTGTATGAAAATTGTTCATATTCATATTAATTTATACAAAATAGATATTAATACTATATATTATGTATATGTAGTTAATGCTTAATATTTATTAGAGATATTCCTATACACAATAGTTTGTTTTAAATTAATCTGTTGGTAAATTATTTTATGTATTTAACAATATGTATTTAATAATTATAATGAATGATCTTTATTAAATTCTAGCACAGACTAATTCTTTAAAACCCAATACTTACAACTTTAGTAATATAATTATTAGAGGCCTAATATTTGTGATCTCAAATACTCAATTAAAAAAATTAATATCTCAACAATTTAATATTATGACAATTCGATATCAAAATCTTGAAATTATAGGTGTTAGACCTTCTAAATAATTGTGATATTAAATATTTTACTTGCTATTTATAAAATTATCATTTGAGTGCCGTAATTTAAAAACTGAAGTGAATATTAAAGCTTCCTATATTGAACTTATTTCTAAAAGAAACCCTGTAATAAAGTCAATTATGAAGATTCTTCACAATTGATTTTATTGCAGAAGGTTTTTTAAAAATTATTTAATTCAGAAACAGTTTTAATAAAATATTCCTAAAATAGGAATAGTATATATTTTGCAGTTAAAATTTAAATGAATTTATCTAATTCTATATAGATAAAGTAAAACCCAATTTAGATAATAAGATATTTTATCTATATGCTGTTTAACAATCTCAGCAACTACCTGATCAAATATGATAATTTTTTTAATTTGAATTCTATAAAACTATAGAATTCAAATAACCAAATTTTCATCAAATTTGGTTAGGTGGTCATCGAGATATCTTCACTCAAAGTTTTAAAAATAATTTAGTGCAACTACTATTTCAATAGACGTTTTGAATTTCTTTCAACTTTAAGTAAATATATCTCAATGACCACCTAACCAAATTTGATAATTTTTTTTTATTTAAATTTTGCGAATTTGCAGAATTCAAATAAAAAAATTTTTATTGAATTTGGCTAGGTAGTCATTGAGATATCTTCGCTCAAAGTTTAAAATAATTCAGCACAGCTTCTATTATGATAGATATTTTAAATTTTTTCTAATTTGAGTGAAGATATCTCAGCGACCACCTGACCAAATTTGATGAATTTTTTTTTATTTGAATTCTACAAATCTGTAGAATTCAAATAAAAAAATTTTCAGTAAATTTGGTTAAGTAGTCATTGAGATATCTTCGTCTAAATGTTAAATTTTTTTATTATTCTGTTTAAATTTTATTAGATTTCAGATCCAGATCAGAAATGATCTGCAGTCTGAATTTGGAAATTTTGGACTACGCCCTGGCCCTGTTCTCCCTGTGGAATTCTAAGTTGAAACTTTAAACTCTAAAACACAAAGAAAGGATGACCAACAGGATCTATTACGAAGGATATATCATTTAATAGGAAAATTACAAGAGGACTAAAATCAAGCCCAAAAGAATATTGAAAAGTCATAGGCCTACCAAAAGCAAAGGCATAATAATAAACTCAAGCAAGTAATAAAATACTAAGTAAATAATCTGGTATTACTTTATAAAAGTGAACTCAAGGGAAGGCAAAAGCTCATTGATCCTTAGAAAGGACCCTACTATATACATGAAATACTTGCTAATGGAGCTTATAAGTTAAGGACTATAGACTGAAAAGTTCTCAAGAATCCTGTAAATAGTGATAAGTTAAAATTGTATCATTAATATACTCTATTTGAACTCATAGTAGTAATAGAGACTAATTAAGCCTGAAGTCCTTAAAAGCTGAGCCTCGCACAAATTTTATTTATTATTTATTCAATAGTTTAGTGACTAATTGTTCTGATGTCTTAAAAAGCTGTAACTACAATTTCATTTATTTTATCTATTTTATTTATTTATTTATTTTTTTATTATTTCCTATATTTAGTTTAGTTTACTGTTATCTTTTATTTTATATTTTATATTTTATATTATTTTGTCTTATATTTTATATTCTTTTATCTTTCGTTAGACACAATGATAAAGTTGGATGATTATGATAGCTATGTACGAGTGATGGTGCATATGACACTTTTATTTATATTATTATTTTTCTTATTTTAGAAATTATTTATCACAGATCTGATAATTAACACTGCTAGGAACTAAATTTGTATGAGAAAACTTAATAAAACAATTGAAGCTTTATAGACTACACGATAAAATTAGAAGAAAAAGGAAAATCTTGCTCAAAAATTTTAGAAGTTTTTAGAAGGTCATGGAAAGTTAAATATCACGATTACAAATCTTAGAAAGTTGTAGAAAAATTTAGAAATTTAAAGAATTGTTTAATGATAAGAAATCAATTCTTTATAAAAGGAGTCAAAGTTTGCTTATTCTAAGCAACAACTCATTGTTAAAAATATCAAAAACTCAAATATCAACTTCTAAACAACAAACTAGAATCTCTCTTAGGAATTACTCAGCTCATGATTCAACAACTTCAAGAGAAACTTCGAGACATTGATCCAAATACCATCCTAATTATTACTTCTAGTCAGATGACCTATCAAGAAAAAACTTCTAATATCGAAGAAACTAATCCTTTAACTGATACTCAAAGGATTAGGCAAAAACTTGCTCTATATTTTGAGGATTTAAACAATTTTAATATAGAACTTAAGAATATAGTAGCAATAAATAGTAATAATAAAGAGGAAAAGATTAAATCTATATGCTGAAAAATTAAACTCTTCAAGGATAATAACAAACAAATCTTTAAACAGTTGGAATACTATTATCGCCTAGGTGAACTCCTTTATATAGACAATTAGAGTAATTATTCAGCAAACTTTCTTTGCCAAGAATTAGGTATTCAAAAAGGAAAGGAAGCATTCAAAGTTACTCAACGAACCTTTGAATTATATAATGCTCAAGGAATTTGGAACATTTTTCAAGCAAAGCATATTAGCTATAGAGTGTTAGCTCGAATGTAAGAGTCTGACTTTAAATTGTTCATGTAGGAAGCATATAAAATTTCAATAACAGAATTTGAGAATCCTTTTATCTCAGAGAAATTTTAATTCGCAGGAGCTCATCTCTAAGAAGAGGATAATGTCATGCCTATAATTTTCTATTTCTTTATTTTTCTTTTATTTTATTTTTAGTTTTATTATTTGATTTAGTATTTTT